CACCACATTCATGCAATGCCCATCAAAGTCAGAAGAGGGCATCAGAACCCCTAAAATTGCAGGTGGTTGTGAGCTGCTATGTGGGTGCTTGGAGCTGAACCTGGGTCCTCTGAGAGAGCAGCCAGTGCTTTATCCTCTAAGCCATCTCCCCAACCCCTTCTCTCATGCTAATTTAAAAAAGTCCTAAAAAATAAAACCCTAAAAATGGAAAAGAAACGTGAAGGTAGGTATGGTAGTTTGAATGTAATTGACCCCCATAAGCTCATAGGAGTGGCACTTAGGAGGTGTGGCTTTGTTGGAGTGGGTGTGGCCTTGTGGGAGGAAGTGTGTCACTGTGGGGGTGGGCTCTGAGGACTCATATATGCTCAAGCCACACCCAGTGTCTCAGTTCGCTTCCTGTTGCCTGTCAATCTAAGATGATGAACTCGCAGCTCCTCCAACTCCATGTCTGCCTGCCCACCACCATGTCCCACCATGATGATAATGGACTGAACCTCTGGACTGTAAGCAAGCCCCCTCAATTAAATGTTTTCCTTTATGAGAGTTGCTGTGGTCATGGTGTCTCTTCACAGCAATAGAAACCCTAACTTAGACAGAAGTAGAACACAGTTTCTTTTCAGGGCTGGTCAGGGTTTATGCTGCAAATGGTTTTTCTTATTCAGAAATTTTGAATCTTGTTTCAGTCAAATATTCTCACTGCTCAGCCAAGGAGTCCCAGGGTGGCTGGGCAAGTCAGCTTATCCAGCTTTGATTTTTGACAAACATTCATGGAATGTTTGATGATGGCTAAATTGAGGATGCCAAATGGTTCCCTAGCACAGCATAGTAGATTCCACGGTTTTCCATAACTAACCTATCAATGGATACGGACACACTGAGAAGCCATAGGCTTTAAGCAACACACACTTTTGTCTGTGGTGCTGAGGTCAAATCCCCAGGGCCTTGCGCATGCTAGGCAAGCACTCTGTCCTTGAGCCTCCGCCCAAGCCTTTCGTTTCATAAGCTTGTCCCCCCACTTTGTTCCACAACTGTTTTCAGTGCCATCAGGCTTTTCACTTCCAAGGAAGAGTCTGTGTCAAGTGGTGTTGAGATTTGTTTATTTTCCCCCTTGACTTCTTCAACAGATATTCTCCAATTATTTGTTTCATGCATACTATTTATAGCTCATTCTCAGCCACTTCAAAGCTGGTGTTTGCCCTGACAGTAACAACAGCTGCTCTGTATTGGTGCATCTGTCAACTCATTAAGAGCCAAAGAAAACCTCTTGAAAACATTCTCCTTGTTTTAAAATTGACTGTTGATGTCCCCTCTCAATGTCTTCAGTTCTCCGAGCAGCTCTTTTCATTGAAAAGATAAATGCTGCGGTTGGTTTTCTTCTGGACACATTTCTTCAGCTGCTGCAATCAAGCTGATTTAATTAAACTTGCTTCCGGTAAGAGCTTTCCTTGTTTGGTTAGCAAATGAGCAAGTTGGAGATTCATTTTCTTTGCAATCTAATTTTCACATTTTAGTTTTTGAAGCATTCCACTGTGATAAGATATGCACTGAACATTTCCAACCTTTATGAGAACTGTTTTTCTGTGAGGCGGGAAGATGGTGGTTTGCTTAGCCTGCTAATATTGATTTGTCTTAGTTTCTTTACATTTCTTTATGACTTTATATGTATGGGTGTTTTGCCTGCATGTGTGTCTATACGCTACACACATGGGGCGCCCTTGGAGGCCAGAAGAGGGTGCTGGACTCCGACGAACTGGAGTTATAGACAGTTGTGGGTCACCATGTTGGTGCTGGGAATTGAACCCAGGACCTCTGGAAGAGCAGCCAGTTCATAACCACTGAGCCATCTCTCCAGCTGTGATAAAATACTCAGTCAAAAGCCGCTAAAGGAGGGAAGAGGTTATTGTGTCTCCCAGTTCAAGGCACAGTCCATCATGGCCAGAACATCAGGGCAGCAGGAGCCTGAAGCAGCTGGTCACATGGCGTCTAAAAGCAAGAAGTAGTGAAATAAGCCAGCTGCTGCTCAGCTCTCTTTACTCATAAACCTAGTCAGGGATCTCCTGCCTAGGGAACAGTTCTGCCCTACCTTAAGATGACACCCAGAGGCCCATCTCCCAGGTGATTCTAGATTCTGTCAAGTTGACGACACTAACTTTCACATTGATATATTGTGATGGCTAAAGAAACTGGGCACCCATCTCAGTACCCACTAAAATAAGTAAATCTTACAAGATTTTTTATTCTTATTTTATGTGTATGAGTATTTGCCTGCCTGTATGTCTGGGCACCACATATGTGTAGTGCTCATGGAAGCCAGAAGAGGGTGTTGGATGCTCTGAAACTGGAGTTACACATGGTTGTGGGCCACCATGTGGGCACTGGGGATTGAACCCAGCTCCCCTGGAAAGGCAACCAGGACTCTTAACTACTGGGCCATCTCTCCAGCCCCAAAAAAGCTTTTTTAAAAAAATAATTTATTTTTATTTTATATACATTGGTGTTTTGCCTACATGTATGTTTGTGTAAGTATGTTGGATCCCCCAGGAACTGGAGTTACAGACAGTGGTGAGCTACCATGTGGGTGCTGAGAATTGGACCCAGGTCCTCTGGGGGAGCAGTCAGTGCTCTTAACCACTGAGCCATCTTTCCAGCCCCCTAAAGAAGCTTTTGAAGGAGTGAAAACTTACCGTGGAAGGCAAGTAGATTTGAGCAGTATAAAGAGATGGGTTGTGTAGATTTGTCTATGTGTGTAATGGAGCCTCCCTTCCCAGCCAATGACTCATCACACAGGGGCTGAGAATACCAGTTGTCAGAAGCCATTCTGGTGCTTGGGTCATAGGGGCCCTTGTGACATCATCACTCTGTCCTTTCTACTCTCTCTGCTGGATCAGAGCTAGAGAAGCGCAGACCAGAGGGTGATGGGAACATCTAGCCCCTAACCATGGGTAATTTAGTAGAACATAGATCTGAGGGGGGTTCAACCACGCATGTCTAAGTCAGGGCACGGAATGCTTTATAAGAGATCGATCTATCCAGGTGTGTCCATCCCGCAGCCCACGGGCAGCATGCAGATGAGGATAGCTATGACTGTGGCCCAGTATAAAAATTTAAACTTCCTTAAAATGTTATGAGATTTTTGTGTGTGAGTGATTTTGTTTTGTAACTCAGTTGTGTGGTGCTTTTCGTGTGAACTTTGTAGGTGGTAATGTCATTCACAATGTCTAAAGGTTGGATACATTTGATAGGGTAGAGTAAGGTCTCCTGGTTACCATAGTAGGTTTTAGTAGTGTAAGAAAGACCAGGAATAGCTGGTGTGGTGGCCCACAGCTGTAATCCCAGCACTCAGGGAGGCAGAGGCAAAAGGATGTCTGTGAGTTCAAGGCCAGCCTGTTACTGGACAGCCATAGCCACATAAGGCCAGAAGTGGGGTCTTGTTGACTTGGAAATAGGAAAAATATTTTTATCTTCTCCCTATTTTCTTCCCAAATAAGGAAAGAGAGCTTTAAATAATAATCAGAACAAGGCATAAGTAATAAGTACCTGGGAGGCTGAGCAGACAAATTGTGATGAATTTGAGGCCAGCCTGGGCTACATAGTGAGTTCCAGATCAGCTTGGGCTATAGGATGAAAGTCTCAAAAATATAATCATCTGGCTGGAAAGATGACTCAGCGGTTAAGAGCACTGGCTGCTCTTCCAGAGGTCCTGAGTTCCCAGCACCCACATGGTGGCTCACAACCATCTATAATGGGATCTGTTGCCTTCTTCTGGCCTGCAGGTATACATGCAGATAGAGTATTCATACACATAAAATAAATCTTTTGTCTTGTTTTGTTTCGTTTTTCGAGACAGGGTTTCTCTGTGTAGTTTTGGTGCCTGTCCTGGATCTTGCTCTATAGCCCAGGCTGGCCTCGAACTCACAGAGATCTGCCTATCTCTGCCTCCCGAGTGCTGGGATTAAAGGTGTGCACCACCACCACACAGCAATAAATAAATCTTAAAAAATGAATTATCGGCCGGGCAGTGGTGGTGCACGCCTTTAATCCCAGCACTCGGGAGGCAGAGCCAGGCGGATCTATGTGAGTTCGAGGCCAGCCTGGGCTACCAAGTGAGTCCCAGAAAAGGCACAAAGCTACACAGAGAAACCCTGTCTCGAAAAACCAAAAAAAAAAAAAAAAATTATCATTAAAGAAAATGAAGAAGCATGTTTTAAACATGCTACATGTTGTGTATGTGCAGGCATGTATGTTTGCAATGATGTAAGTGCCAACTGAAGTTTAAACTGTTGATAACATGGGTGGGTAACAGTTCTCTGGTAGATTGTTGAACAGGTACACCTGCATGCCAGAAGAGGGGGGGAGTCATATCCCATTATAGATGGCTGTGAGCCACTGTGTGGTTGCTGGGATTTGAACTCAGGACCTCTGGAAGAGCAGCCAGTAATCTCAACTGCCAAAGTGGATCTTTTTTTTTAAAATTTATTTATTTTTACTTTGTTTGCATTGGTGCATTATCTGTATGTATGTCTATGTGAGGGTGTCAGATCTTGGAGTTAACAGTTGTGGGTTGCCCTGTGGGTGCTGGGAATTGAACCTGGGTCCTCTGGAAGAGCAGTCAGTACTCTTAACCACTGAGCCATCTCTCCAGCCCCCTTCCCCCAAACTGAATCTTAAAATCATTTTACTTCTAAATCATGGTGTCTTGCTCTAGACTGACCAATGAGACAACCATGGAAAACTGGGTGAGGTAGCTAGGGCAGATGTGCCTGTTTTACTGATAGGCGTGCCCAGACACTCAGAGGTCAGGTTGACAAATCCCTGCCAATTAACCCGCATATACCAGAGGAAGGCTTACGTAGCTGGTCACGGCTGTGGCCCCGCTGGGTCCTGCACCTCCTTAATGGAGGATCAGGATTCCTGTCTGGCACACCCTGAACTTCCTAAGTGTCCTAAGTGGTCTTTTCTCTGTTGCAAGGCCCAGAAGAAACTCCTGCCATGACAGAAAATACTCCTGCCATGACAGAAAATACTCCCGCCACGGCAGAAAAAACTCCCGCCACGACAGAAAAAACTCGCGCCTTGACGAAAACATCTGCAGCTGTGCTCCTTCAAGCATGGTGGCGTGGCACACTGCTGAGACGCTCGCTGCTGCATGCTGCCCTCAACGCGTGGATCATTCAGTCCTGGTGGAGAAGGATGCTGGTGAAGTTGTGGGAGATGAGACGGCGAGCGGTTCTGGAGGTGTATGCTAAAAAAACATGGGCAACGGTCAAACTTCAGTCCTGGTACCGGATGTGGCGCATCCGCCAACGATACTGTCGTTTGCTAAATGCTGTCCGTATCATCCAGGTTTATTGGCGTTGGCATAGTTGTCACACTCGTGGTTTTATCCAGGGCAACTATGAAATCAAAGAAAACCAACTGAATATTCAACTTGAAATTTCCCTGGGCTCACAGGCTTGCAAGGTGCAGCAATGTATAACCCTACCAATAAAAGAGTGATCAGGTCTGCTACACCCGTGTCCTCAGCTCTCTTTATCAGGATTTCCAGGTCACTATTAGAGTCAATATGGCAAATACCAGGTGTCTGGCAAATCAGTTCTGAGGGACACTGTTGAAAAGGAGCCTCGGTGCTGGAGGAGAAGGATTTGGGATAGATTAGTAATGTCTGCCACAGCAAGGGTGTTAGGATTTCAGGGTTTCCAGGTGTCAGTTCCAGGGAGAACATATAAATGGTCTCCCCTGACAACATAACATGGAGGCCTGTATTTTGGAGTTTTGTGTTTGCTACAAAATTGCAAAACTTGTTTTAAAAATCATGGTAAAAATTTGACACAAACATTCTTTTAAACTAGGTTGAAAGGTACTTACTTACATTGTGCAACCCTCACCATCAATCTCCATCATGTTTTCATCTTGCAAAGCTGAAAATTTACCCATTAAACAGGAATTTTTTGTTTCTCCCTCCAGCCCTGGACAACTTATTTGTCTTTATGCATTCAACTTTTGATGAGTGGCACCCCTTCCCCGTCCCCATTCTGGAGAACCCAGAGAACTCGCAGAAAACCTATGTTGTAGCGACTGGCTTATTCCACTTATTACAAGTTCAGGTTGTAGCATGTGTCAGGCATCCCTTTGAAAGGCTGAATCACAGCCCAGAGAATGCATGTACTGCCTGTGTCCACCTGTTGATTGACGTGTGTCACTCTGCCTTTTGGCTATTTGAACAATGTGGCTATGGACACAGATGGACAAATAGCACTTTCCCTTCTTTTTAAAAAATTTGTGTGTGTGGTGTGTGCATGTGTATGTGTGTTTGTGTGGTGTAGTGTGTCATGTATGCAAGTGTGTCTGGTATATGCTTATATATGTGTATATGAGAGTCTGTATGTGGTGTATGTTTGTGTGTGGTATATGTGTGTGTGTGTGTGTGTGTGTGTGTGTGTGTGTGTGTGTGTGTGTCTGTGTGTATGTCTGTGTGTTGTGGAATAACCCTTCTGAAGACTCTGAAAATGCATTGCTGTCATTGTTAATAAAAAGCTGATTGGCTGATAGCTAGGCAGGATTTTGGGACAGAGAAAATGCTGGAAAGAAGGGTGGAGTCTTAAGAGTCGCAAGCAGATACAGAGAGAAGACAAAAATGCAGTGTTGAAAGAAAGTACCACCACATGGCAGACCATAGATAAGAAATATGGGTTAATTTAAAATGTAAGAGTTAGCTAGTAACAAGCCTAAGCTATCAGCTGAGCATTTATAATTAATAATAAGTCTCTAAATGGTTATTTGGAGCTGCTGTAAAGACACAGAGAAACTCCACCTGTGTGTGTGTGTGTGTATGTGTGTGTGTGTGTGTGTGTGTGTGTGTGGTGTATGCATGCGTTTGTGTGTTTGTGTGTGTGTGTGTGGTGTTTGCATGCATATGTGCAAGCTCATGCAAATGCACGCAGCTACCCTTGAACTCACTCTGTAGTTGAGGGTGAACTTGAACTTCTGATCTCCTTCCTGTCTCCATCTCTCCAATGCTAGGATCATGGGGTACATACCCCCCCCCATCATTGTGGGTTTGTTTGCTTTTCAAGACCTGTCTCAGTGTGTAGCTGGCCTTGAACTCAGGTCCTCTTGGTATCCATATGCTCCTTTGAGTATACACAAAGGAGTGGAAAACTTACATCCCCATAAAACCCCAAGCATGCATGATTTCAGAAGCTTTATTCATAACTGCCCAAATTTACAAGCAACCAAGGTGTCCTTCAGCATAGGAGGGGTTGAATAAACTGTGATGTGTCCCTCAAGTGGAATATTTTGTGGTGTTAAAGTGAGTAGGCCATGATGACACATGGAAGAACTTACACGCATATTATTCAAGGAAAGAAAGCATCCTGAAAGGCTACATACACAGTGTGCACTTCAGCTATGTAGTGCTCTAGAAAACAAAACAAAAACAAACAAACTATGGAGGAAGTTGTTGGTTAAATGGCGCGCTGCTTGTGGCTGGCTGCCACCCGCAGCGGCCATGCCGGTGGAGGAGAGTGCTGGAGGAGAGTCACAAGCCATAGTTACCTTTTTTTTTTTTTTTTTTGAGACAGGGTTTCTCTGTGTAGCTTTGCGCCTTTCCTGGGACTCACTTGGTAGTCCAGGCTGGCCTCGAACTCACAGAGATCCGCCTGGCTCTGCCTCCCGAGTGCTGGGATTAAAGGCGTGCGCCACCACCGCCCGGCCATAGTTACCTTTTTAGAGCTTTATTGGGGGGGGGAGAGGGCGAGGGGGGGAGAGAGAGAGAGAGAGAGAGAGAGAGAGAGAGAGAGAGAGAGAGAGAGGAAAGAGAAGGAGGTCCAGACGGAAGGAAAGAGTGGAAAGAAAGAGAGGGAAGAGGAAGGGCGCACAGAGGGCCCACCCGCTTTTTAGGCTGGGATGCCGTCAAAGGTTGATGACGTAGTTAAGGACAGAATACTTACAGAAGTAAATAAAATAAATGTCAGAGAGTGGTAGGCTTTTGGGGGTGGGGGCTGAGGATGGAGAAGTATGTGGTCTGGGATGAATTTGAACTTGCAGTCCTCTAGTCTCTGCCTTCCGCGTGCTGGGATTACATGTGTGCACATCTACCTGAGCACACAGGAATCTTTTTTTTTTTTTTAGGGAAGTTATACTATCATTCATGATTCTATAGCAGTGAATGCATGGCAAAGAGTGTATGCTAACAGGAAGTGTGTGTTTTGGGTGATTTTGTTGTCGGCTTGTAGACTTATTGTAACAAATGTGCTGCTCTGGTGGAAGATGTTGATTATAAGGGAGGCTAGGAGCGTTTCAGGGCAGGGGAAACAGCTCCATACTTTCCATTTGTTGTGAACTTAAAACTACCAAAAAGTTAAAAACAAACAAACAAACAAACAGCTAAAAGACTTCTAGGCTGGTGAGATGCTCAGTGGATTACGATGCCTGTCACCAAGCCTGGTGACCTTGACAGTGAGTGAGTGACCACGTGACATCTTTCCTCCGCTATCATTTAGCTCATGAACACACTATCCTTCACTGAACCTGCTGGACTTTGGTGTTTTATATCAAGAGTTTTAAATTTTCAGTATATAGATCAGCGTTGACTGTATTAAGGGATTATCCAAATGAATTTTCTCTTTTCCTTCCTTCCTTCCTTCCCTCCTCCCTTCCTCTCCACTCCCTCTTTCCCTCCTTTCTTCCCTTTCTTTCTGCCTTTCTTTCTTTTTAGATGGCTCTCATGTAGCTCAGGCTAGCCTTGAACTCACTATATTAAGTTATATCCTTAAGCTATCCTTAAGTTAAGGATGACCTTGAACTTCTGACCTTGCTGCTTCTACTTCCCAAGTGCTGGAATTACCAATGTGCACCATCATGTCTGGTTTTACATGGTATAGGGCATCGCACATGCTGGCCATGCACTCTACTGAAGGAACTACCCTACTTTCTAAATCTTTTTCTTTGGGTGGATTTTTGCTTGTATTTAGATTCTTGAATTTGTACTCTCAAACCTATAATCTGCAAATAAGAGCGGTTTGGCTTCCTCCTTTCCTGTCTGTCTGCCTGTTGTTTCTCTTTATTGACTAATTGCCTGGGCTAGAACTCCCAGTACCCCAGTGAACACCTTTGAGAGCAGATGTGTTGTCTCAATTGCGATCTGGCAGGGAAGTGGGGTTGGTGGAGTGTGCTCGGTTACTGTTAGGCTAGTGGTAGGGTTCTCATAGAACCTCTTCATCAGACTTCTAAAATGTCCGAGTTATCATGAGTAGATGCTAAATTTGCCATGTCATTTTTCTGTACTGATTAATATAGTCACATGTGGACTGATGGATTTTAATGTTTATCTTTGCTTCCTAGAGTTAAATTTGGTTTGCTCGAGGTCTAGAATCACTTTTATATGTTGTTGGGTTTTGATGTGTGGTTTTTGAGTGTGATGAGACATTTTATTGCTCAGTTATATGTGACTAAGTACCTAGGGTACTGGACATTTGTGCTCCTCAAGGATCCATCGGGGACAGCGGCTCTGTGTTTGTGGTCTCACGCCAGTGAGGACTAACGACTCAGGTACTTGTAGGAGTATGACAAGAAGAAGCAAGCTTTATTAGAGCTACAGAAAAGTGAGGAGTTGAGGAAAAGTGAGAGACTGTCAAGAGTGAGAGGGGTCCTCACAGAGGTAAAAAGCTATCGATGGACCTTCCTGGTCTGGGGATTTGTAGAGGGCTGCGGCGGACACTGGACAAAGGCTGAGGTAACGTCGTGGTTTGGTCTCGGGTATCATGGGCACAGATGCTCTGTGCATGTCCCCCTGGTCCCCCCAAGGAGATGATCATGCCCTGTCCCTCCGTTAGGGGTGGTTGAAGCCTCTTCTTTATCCATGTCTGATTCTGACTTTGTTAGGTGTTGGCCTGACTATCTGCTGGCCCTTAGACACTGGCTGGCATCGTTACCTCCAACTTTGCAGGTGTCTCGATTGCCATTAATTATCCTAAGCTAGTTTTGCTCCTTGAACCAAGGAGGGCTGGAGGAGAGATGGCTGAGTGGTTCAGAGCACTGGCTGGTCTTCCAGAGGACCTGGGTTTGATTCCCAGCACCCACATGGTGACTCACAGTCACTTATAACTCCAGTTCTAGGGTATCTGATGCCCTCTTCTGGCCTCTCTGGGTACCAGGTATACTCATGGTACACAGACATACATGTCGGTAAAACAGACATACAGATACACACACACACACACACACACACACACACACACACACACACACACACACATACGCACACGCACACGTCAAACATCTACCAAGAACTAGCTGTGTTTGGTTGGATAACTCCTTGTGTACAAGATGGTCTGGGTTCTCTTTCCTGAAATGGGGGACAGGTGGGAATGGGGGGCTTTCTCGGAAGCTCCCATTTAATGTTGCAACTAGCTGTATTCGAAGCAAGGACATGTGGGAGAACAATGGCGCCTTGCTTGTGTTCCTCAGCGGACCCATGGTTGTGTCATACCCAGCCCTCTGCCTCGGTGCTCCAGACTGCCATTTTAACACTTCCTCTTTCTTTTAGCCACGGCCTCCATTCTCAAAACCTGCGCGAGCAGCTTCAGTTTTCACCACGGTCTCTCTCCTCCGACTGCGTGCTGAGAGCCAGGCTCTGTCCTGGGGTGGAAATGCTGGTATTTTCTCCTGGGTTTTGGCGTATAAGTCCCCGGGAGCTACTGTTCTACAGTTCCTTTTATCACTCCTCTCCTTTGCACCCCCTGGTTTCACTTTGGTATGAACACTGGCCTCACAAAAGTTTCTGTTCTAATGAAATTGTGTAAAGTTGATTTTTTAAAATTATTCTTTAAATGTGTGCCTTCATATGCACGCATGTATGCATGTATATGAGTGCTTGTGTACATGTGTGTGCACGTGTGTGTGTGTGTGTGTGTGTGTGTGTGTGTGTGTGTGTGTGTGTACGTGTATTTGTGGAAGGGAGAGGTTGACTTTAGGTATCTTCCCTGATCCTTCTCATCTTAGTTTTGACTCAGGGTCTCTCAGTAAACCTAGAATGCACCAATTTAGCTGGACTGGCTGGCCTTCAAACCCCAGGCACCCTCCTGTTTGTGCCTTTCCAAGTCTGGGATACAGGTGTCCTGCCAAACCTGGCTCTTTTTACATGGGTGCTGGAATCAAACTCAGGCAAGTACTTTACTGGCTGAGCCATTTTCTCAGTCCCCCCTCTTCCCTAACAGTAGGCTCTCCCTAAGTAGCCCTGTCTTGACCAGGCTGGCCTTGAACTCACAGAGATCTGCCTGCTGAGGTCAGGTACAGGCTGACAGAGAAACCAGCCCTGTGAAGCATCCTCTTCCCTGTGCTACTCAGCTCTTCTTATAGCCCAGCAAGTTCTTTTCTCCTGTTTAACAAATAGCCACCACCACCACGAGTGACATAAAAATCCTTGCATATCAGGCTGGGCGGTGGTGGCACACGCCTTTAATCCCAGCACTTGGGAGGCAGAGACAGGTGGATTTCTGTGAGTTCAAGGCCAGCCTGGTCTACAAAGTGAGTTCCAGGAAAGGCGCAAAGCTACACAGAGAAACCCTGTCTTGAAAAACCAAAAAAAAAAAAAAAAAAAAAAAAAAATCCTTGCATATCTTGTTCAATTGGAGAATTTTAGTATTTCCCATTTATCACTAGGACAATATCATAACATTTTTGTATCTGGCTACCACATATAGGCAATTTTCTTTCTTTCTGTCTTTTCTCTTTTTTCTTTTCTTTCTTTTTTTTTTTTTTTTTTTTTTTTTTTGAGACAGAGTTTCTCTGTGTAGATCTGGCTGTCCTGGAACTAGCTCTGTAGACCAGGCTGGCCTCGAACTCAGAGATCCACCTGAGTGCTAGGCTTAAAGGCATGCACCACCATGTCTTTAAATGGAGGTAAACAACTCTAGCAAAACAGACCACAGTTTCCCTTCAAGTCAAGTGTCTTTTTTTTTTACGTTTATTTTTAATTATGTGTATATGTGTGACCCTGTTTGTGTATATGTGCATGTGTGAGTGCAGATTTGTATGTGTGCAGGTCAGAGGGAGAAGAAGCAAAATTGGGTATTTGGAGAGGAGAGGCTTTGGGTTATTCAACCCGTAAAATGGAAATGCAAACATGAGAGAAAATTGGGGAACTATTCAGTTGAGATATAGTCTTGAGGATAGGCAGTCTTGATCAAACGGCGCTATACTACAGGCAAAGGAGAAGGAAGGTGGTGGCTTCACCCCATACGTGTTGAGAGAGGGAGGGGAAGAAGAAGGGACAGGGAGGAAGAGAAGAAGCCAGACTCCGCAGAGCATTGATTGTAATGAAGCACAGAATCTGGACTGGTAAAGTTAGGTGCAGCAGGAGTGATGGCCTGAAAGACTGGCAGTGTCTAGAGATGGAAGATCTTAACACACCGGAAGAGACACTCCATCTGTTACTGAGAAGCTGGACCAGAGGGAAAGGAGGAAGTAATCAGAGACGGGGCCCGGAGAAAGCAATTTGAGCAGCCTTCCATCACAGGGGATAATCATTTCTAGAGGCTCACTGTCCAATGCAGTAGCCACTAGCCACAGCGTGGAGAGCTAAGTTTAAATGTAAAGAAGTTCAAAACCCATTCCCTCAGTTTCACTAGGTGTAGTTCCAGGGCTTTTCCGTACCACACAGTGCAGCCACAGAAGGTTCTACAAAATAGTGCTGTCTTCGTATGGCCATGGGAGCAGAATTGAAGAGCCTGCGAGGGTCGTTTAGGGGCTAGGAAGGAGGGATGTTAGAGGGCACCTTGTTTGCTACACAACCCTTCAGGGGAGGAGTTGGGGTGAGAGGACGTGAAGAAGGAATTGAGGTGCCAGGAGTGTCTTTTTAGAAAACAGTTTATTTTTAGTTCATGCACACTCATGTTTTGCCTGCATGTATGTCTGTGTGAAGGTGTTGGGTCTCCTGAAACTGGAGTTACAGTTATGAGCTGCCATGTGAGTGCTGGGAATTGAACCTGAGTCATCTGGAAGAACAGCTTAACCACTGAGCCCTGCTCTAGCCCTGTGAGAGTCTTTTTCCTCTTATTCTCCGGGTTATCTCCTTGCCTGTTGATATGCCCAGCCCTAGCTCCAGCACTAAGGCCAACCTCCTATCCTTACTTGGGGCCACATTGTGATGCCCTCATTCAGACACTGACATTTGCTTTAGGTGCTTCCCAAAGAGGGAACAGAGGCACTCTAGACCCCAGCCAGCCCTGACTCCAGACCCCAGATTCAGTCTATGCATGCAGAGGTATCAAGAGTTTTCATGGGTTGTCGTCTTTAGATCAGTGACTGGCAGAAAGGAATGGGCCTGAGGATGGGAACTGGACTTCTGTGAGGTCAGGTCAGGTTGGGACCTAGCTGATGTTTTGATGATTGAGTGGCATGTGACCATTACCATTCCAATACACAAACACAGGAAAACCTTACTGTCGTTCTCTGTGAGAGACAACAGGAGTCAGTGAGGCCCAAGACTCAAGGCTTCCATTAGTCGGAAACAAACATACACCAACCATTTAGACCTTTACTGGGGACCGAAGACATAGCGTTCCTTCTAATCAGCTCTCAGTGGTCAATGATCTCAATGTGGAACTGCAGGTGAGTGGTGGTGATCACACAGTGACCCCTCAGGAGGGAGCAAGACTGGCAATTGTGGTATTTCCAGTGGCCCTGGATGATGCAGATGGCATTGAGGACCTGGCAGTACCGCCAGTGGATGCGCCACATCCGAATCAGGGACTGGAGCTTGACCACCGCTCTCTCTCTGTTCGAGTAGTCAATCAGCGCTTTCCTCCGCTTCTTCTCCAGATTCCTCCCGAGTGTCAACCGCCACCAGCATTGGATGATCCAGGCTCTGAGGGCTGCGTGGAGCAGAGTCCTGCGCACCAGTGTGCCACGCCACCAGGCCTGGACCTTAATGGCTGCTTTGATTTTGGCCTTTTTAAGCTTTTTCTAGACAGAGATAAGAGAGATTACTCAAGGACCTTCCTGCTACCAACTTTCAGGGTCTTCTTGGAAGGGCTTTGGACTATCTCTTAGCATTGGCTCTTCCTTGGAGAGTTCTGGGATCTAGCAGAACTCTAATCAGGAGCCAGGAGACCTGGTAGGGACCTTCTTTGTCATTGTGGACACATCACCTCACACTCAGCGTCACAATTCATTTCTTTTTCTTTTTTTTTCTTTGAGACAGAGTTTGTTTTTGAGTCCTGGAACTCGCTCTGTAGACCAGGCTGGCCTCGAACTCACAGAGATCCTCTTGCCTCTGCCTCCTGAGTGCTAGGATTAAAGGCGTGCACCACCACCGCCCAGCTGCTCCTTTCTTTTCCGTCCCATGTATTCTAGGCTGGCCTGGAACTTCTTAGACAGTGGAGGATGACTTTAAATTTCTGTTCCTCCGGCCTCCACCTCCCAAGGGCTGGGATGACAGGGGGTGTACCTCCCAAGGGCTGGGATGACTGGGGGTGTAACTCCCAAGGGCTGGGATGCCTGGGGGTGTACCTCCCAAGGGCTGGGATGACCGGGGGTGTACTTCCCAAGGGCTGGGATGACAGGGGGTGTACCCTCTCGGCCAACAGTATTCTTCTCTTGCCTACCCCACTGATGCCTAAATCAAGAGAAAACCAGAGTCACTGGAAGGGTCTCCTGGGGATGAGAGGAGCTCTGCTGTAGTCACAACTCATCTTTGGGGCGCACTGATTGGGGAACATTTGCTCTCCTAATGCTTCTGTCTGGTTTTGCTTTGCTGACTCGTGTCCCATCATCTGATGGCTCTCTGCAGTAATCATGGATTTTTATTTCGTGGTGTGGTTTGTAGTACTTCCTGCATGTTCTACAACCAGCCTTCCTGTATTTAGGCCATTCTGCTTAATTCAGAGTACTCGTGTTCTCGACTTCCAGTCCCAAGCTGTTAGTTTCTGATGGCTTTCCCACTTTCCAGTCACCATGCCACAGTCAGGCTCAGATCCAAGAGTCTGGACTGAGGAGGAGGGAGGAGGAGGAGGAGGAGGAGGAGGAGGAGGAGGAGGAGGAGGAGGAGACAGAGAGGAATGAGCAAATACTGACTTGACTTGGTTATTTTAGACTTGGGTGTATATGAGGTGGAATCCCACGCCCCTAGAACATGGATACAGATGATTTGGAGTTCTTTTAACTGTTGTAGTTCTACTCACTTGTTTTTTTACTTTTCGTTTCTCTTTCCTTTGAACAATCTCATCTTCCTCTTCAGTTACAGATGAAATTAAACTGCTCTTGGACTGTCACCAGAATTAAATGAGAAATACACATCTGTGAGAAAACCATTCTTTGTGTGGGTCTGTTCAAAACCACCCACTGCTTGACTATCCCTTCTTTTACTTAGACCTGGGAAGTCCAGGATGATACCCATCCACACCCCTGCTCTAACCACCTGCTGGATCTGTCATGTCGTTTACACAAAACTTAAGCACCTTAACCAACCTGCATCTAGATGGTTTGTTTGCCCTGGTTTCTCTGCTTCCCAAGGTCTGGTACGAGTGGTCTGATGGGGAAACTGAATTCACAATGGCTTTGTGATATAGGATTAAGACATCTGCCTCAGACTCTCCTTCACCTACCTCCATGTCACACATGTGCTACTGTCCCCCTCTCAAGTCCCTTCTCCCAGGAACCCCTTTCTAGCCTCTCGCCTCTACAGGCATTCCAAGCGGGGGGACCCACAAATCTAAAAATTCAAATCTAGGATCTGCACATGAGAGAGAACATGCATCTGTCTTTCTGAACCTGGGCTACTTCCCTCAGTAAAATACCTTCTAGTTCCCCCCATGTACCCAGCAGCCTTACAATGGCTGTGTATTCACAGAATTCAAGATTCAGTTCTGTGTATATACCACGTTTTCCTTATCTGTCATCAGTTGGTAGGCATCTAGGCTGACTGTTTCCTAGCTAATGTGGATAGAATATTGATGAACATGGAAGTCCAAGTATCTCTGTAGTCAGAGCTACAAGCTTCGATTCTTCTGGCTAGCTTTCACAATCCTCAAAGGTTGTATGCATACTACCAGGGGAGAAAAGTAATCCACAGTCTTATCCAGCTGTGAACCCTGGAAGCTGCAGGAACAACTGACCTGACAAGACCTATCCATTTATGCAATAGTGGCACAACCACTATTGTGGGAACAACCAACCACTTTCAGATTGGATTTTAAGACCCTTCTACAAGATGGAACCCAAGTCTTGTAGCATGAATCTTAAAGAGTCTTATTAATAAAAAACTTGGAAGCCAGGTATTGGGGTGATGCTGAAAGATCAGAGAAACATAACAAGCCACAGCCAACCTCACCTCGCCAATTCCTCAGCTGACCTTGTTTCCTCAAACTGAAAGTTTGTGAGTCCTCACCTGAATGGATCTCAGCTGAACTGCTGCTAAAAGCGTAAAAAGGCTCTAGTTCCTGGTCTTTATGCCTTATATACCTTTCTGCTGCCTGCCATCACTTCTTGGGATTAAAGGTGTGTGTTATTATGCCTGGATGTTTCCAGTGTGGCTTTGAACTCACAGAGATCCAGAGGGATCTCTGCCTCTGGAATGCTAGGATTAAAGGCGTGTGCTACCATTGCCTAAACCTATGTTTAGTATAGCGGGTGTTCTGTTCTCTGACCCCTAGATGAGTTTATTGGGGTGCACAATATATCAACCACAATGTCTGGCATTGTTAACTGGGCCAAGAGCCCAGGGCAGGCTAGGTCATAGGCCCTAGGGGAGAACCTAGTAATACTTTTCTGCTAAATAGTCGTAGCAATAAATATCCCCCTAAGCTCTTATTTTTATACCCACAGATTAGTACATCTCTCAACCCTGATCAAAGATGCTTCTTTTTACAGTAGATGGAGATTAATGCAGAGACCCAGAACCCATTGAGAAGGCCATTAAAGATCTACCATAAATAGGCACCAAGACATGATAGACTCAATCTGAATCTCTAAAAACTTAGAAATTCAGATGTTACTCATTAAAAACTATCCTAAAAGAATTTCCATCAAGAATTTCACAGGAGGAAATCAAACTTATACAGCCACTTTGGAAATCAATATGGCGCTTTCTTAGAAAACTGGGAATCAATCTCCCCCAAGACCCAGCTATACCACTCTTGGGCATATACCCAAGGAATGCTCAACCACACCACAAGGGCACATGCTCAGCTATGTTCATAGCAGCATTGTTTGTAGTAGCCAGAACCTGGAAACAACCTAGATGCCCTTCAACTGAAGAATGGATAAATAAAATATGGTACATAGACACAATGGATTACTACTCAGCAGAGAAAAACAATGACATCATGAGGTTTGCAGGCAAATGGGTGGATCTAGAAAAAATCATCCTGAGTGAGGTAACCCAGACTTAAAAAGACAAACATGGTATGTACTCACTCATAGGAGGATACTAGATGTAAAACAAAGGATGACTAGACTGCTACTCACAACTCCAGGGAGGCTACCTAGAAAACAGGACCCTAAGAAAGACACAGGGATTGCCCAATGACAGAGAAATGGATGAGATCTACATGAGCAAACTGGACATAAGGGGGGGCGGGTAATGAAGGGCAAGATTTGAGGGAAAGAGAACTTAGGGGAGCGGAAAATCCCAGGTGGATCAAGAACAGAGAGGGAGAAGAAGGGAAAAGAGACCATGATAAATGAAGACCACATGGGAATAGGAAGAAGCAAAGTGCTAGAGAGGTCCCCAGAAATCCACAAAGATACCCACACAATAGACTGCTGGCAAGGGTCGAGAAAAAGCCCGAACTGATCTACTCTGGTGATAGGATGGCCAAACACTCTAACAGTCATGCTAGAAATCTCATCCAATGACTGATGGAAGCAGATGCAGAGATCCACGGCCAGGCCCCAGGTGGAGCTCCAGGAATCCAGTCGGCGAGAAAGAGGAGGGATTGTATGAGCGAGAATTGTGGAGACCAAGATTGGAAAAAGCACAGGGACAAATAGCCAAACTAATGGAAACACATGAACTATGAACCATAGCTGAGGAGCCCCCAACTGGATCAGGCCCTCTGGATAAGTGACACAGTTGATTAGCCTGAACTGTTTGGGAGGCACCCAGGCAGTGGGACCAGGACCTGTCCTTGGTGCATGAGTTGGCTGTTTGGAACCTGGGGCCTATGCAGGGACACTTTGCTCAGCCTGGGAGGAGGGGACTGGACCTGCCTGGACTGAATCTACCAGGCTGAGCTGAATCCCCAGGGGAGTCCTTGCCCTGGAGGAGATGGGAATGGGGGCTAGGCTGGGGGGAGGGAGAGGAGCGGGAGGAGGGAGGACAGGGGAATCCATGGCTGATATGTAAAATTAAATCAAATTATAAAATTAAAAAAAATGAAAATGGCAAAAAAAGAGAAACTAAATTAAAAAAATAAGAATTTCACAGGAGCTGGGCAGTGGTGGCACATGCCTTTAATCCTAGCACTCAGGGGACAGAGGCAGGCGGATCTCTGTGAGTTTAAGGCCAGCCTGGTCTGCAGAATGAGTGCCTGGACAGCCAGGGCTACACAGAGAAACCCTGTTTCTTTCTTTCTTTTTTTTTTTAAGGTGTGTACCACCACCGCCTGGCTTTTTTTTTTTTTTTTTTTAAGATTTATTTATTTATTATGTATACAGCATGTATGACCGCAGGCCAGAAGAGGGCACCAGATCTCATTACAGATGGTTGTGAGCCACCATGTGGTTGCTGGGAATTGAACTCAGGACCTCTGGAAGAGCAGTCAGTGCTCTTAACCTCTGAGCCATCTCTCCAGTCCCAACCCTGTTTCAAAAAAAAAAAAAAAAAAGTCAAAACAAAAAAAGGATTTCACAGGGACAGTTTGAATTGGTGGCAGACCTCTGTAACCTAGCACTTGGGTATTTCTTATTAGAATCACATGTGTGTTCCATTTTGTCTGGACTCTTTCACATTGCAGAATGTATCAGTACCTGATAATTTTCTGTTGCCAAGTAATATTCCACTGCATGGATATGCCATATTCTGTTTGTCTGCATACCCTTTTCATGGGTATCTGTGCTGTTTGATTTCAAATAATGCAGCTATCAATACCCACGCACAAACTTTCTGTGAATAGTCTTTCATTTCTCTATTTTTTAAAATGACTTTATTTTATTTTATGTGCACTTGTGTTTTTCCTTCACGTATGTCTGTGTGAAGGTGTGAGATCCCCTGGAAATGTAGTTACAGACAGTTGTGAGCTGCCATGTGGATGCTGGGAATTGAACTTGGGTCCTCTGGAAGAGCAACTGGTGCTCTTAACCACTTAGCCATCTCTCCAGCCCATTTCTCTATAGCTAGGAATTGAACTTCTGGTTCACGGTTAGCTCTGAGGAATCATTTAAGGAACAGAGGTGTTGTTTTACACAGGGATCAATCATTTAAAAACTCTGCTAGTGTGTATGTAAGCTCTTATCCTTTCATATTTCTGTCAGCACTTGCTACTGCTTGATGCTTTGATTAATTACTCTTCTGGATGTGTAGGGGTATCATCTTGAAGTTTTTAGTTTTTCTTTTTAGTATTATGTTTTAGATTAGCTGGGGATGGAGTGGATCTGGGAGGCATTATAGGAAGGACTGGGGAGTGAATGATTGGAAAACATAGTAGAAAATTCTCAAAGAATTAATAAAATTATATTTAAAAAGATTTCTCCCTTTCCTCTCATAATTAATTCCCTTTCTTGTTTCATGACCCATCCAGACATATAAATACACATGTAGGTATTGCTACAAGCACATGTATTTTTAAATCTTAGGTTCTGTATGCATACAAGAGAAGATGTATTTAATATTTTTAAAACAAGTTCTCACTATGGATCCCTGGCTGTCCTGGAACTCTCTATGTAGAAGACCAGGCTGGCCTCAAACCCACAGAGATCCACCTGCCTCTGCCTCCTGAATGCTGGGATTAAAGACTCATACTGACACAGCTAATATGCTTTATCTTTTTTGAGATTGATGATGTTAAATGTATTTTGTGTGCTTATTGGCCATTTATGTGTCTTCAGAGAAATGTCTATTTCTAGATCTTTTGCCTATTTTAATTTATTCATTAGAATTTTTGAGCGGGGATTAAAATAACTTAAAAACACAGTACAGAGGGTCAACAAGATGGCTGAATGGGTAGAGGCACTTGTACACGGGGCTGATGATCTGCACTTCATCCCTAAATCCACAAGGTGGCAGGAGAGAACTGATTCCCCAACTCTGGAGGCTGTCTTTGAACTGCAAGCGGACTGACTGTGGGCACCTCACACACATCCACAACACACATCCACAACACACATCCACAGCACACATCCACAGCACACATCCACAACACCACACACACCTAAAATAACAATAAATGAGTAAAAGTTAAATGCAGTTTAAAATGTGAGGGACAAATAGCAACAGAGACTTGAGAACATGTTTCGTCCAACAGTCCTGTAGATACTGTCAAGCAAACAAATCATTTTAAAAGACAGCAGTACTGACAAAACGCAGAAAACAGGCTTTAGAAAACAAGACCTACAAAAGCTATTTTGAGTGAGAAAGCATTGCTCCCGGATGTTATGTCGTTCTCCTAAAATC